CTGCTAGAAGATTGTCATCTACAAGCATACCTTTGGAGGGTACCAAAATTTCCACAAGCATGAAAAGGCTATGGAGAAGAATGCCGCCGACATTCTGGAAGTATTGAAGGGTACCAAAATGCGCACAAGTATTAAAACGAGGATAGAGCACTGCGAGATTTATTGATAGTATTTATTGATTTTCCAATTCGGCTATGCAACCTATTACAAATATGACTCGCCAAAAACATTTTTTTTCCTACAAATATTGTCTTAAAAACTGTCCCTACAACTACCCTACGCTTGAAGCACCCATCACCACCACCCCTAAACCCTAATCAAAACCTCAACCCTCCCGAGCAATATAGTTGCAACTATTGTGATAAAAATTTCTAAAGCAAGCAGATTTTGGGAGGGCACCAAAATGTGTACAAGCTAGAGAGAATTATAAAAAAGAATGGCCGCAACTTTTAGGAAGCCAATTTTGGCTATTTTGCCGGGGCTGGCCTACCTTACAGTACTGCACCATAGATACCTTTGCATCACACTGAAACCCATTTTCGGTTCAATGGTCGTGCAATGCAGCTGATCCCCCAGGAATGATGCCGACGATCACCTGGATATTGAGAACTTTGTCCTGGACCTATCTCTTAAGTTGTGGATTGATGTCTGATAGTTTGTAGCGTGTAATTGTTAATAGTTTTGATGATGTGATTGATCCAATGATATGTTTGAAATATCCAATCACATTATTTGTATCTTCAATGAATTAGTTTGTAATTAGAAAATGAAATGGAAACACAAAAGAAGAAATATCTAGTGTTGCTTCCAAAATTCTATTTATTAATTAGTTTGTAATTACATTTTTTTCATCCCATAAATGAATTGTTTTAGTTCTTTGTCTAAGATTCTTCGTGAAATGGGCAATTTAATTGATAGAGTATGCATGGTAATTACACTTTATTTCATGTTGTTTGGCACTTTAAGTGAAAGTTTAGTTTCAAAATTTTAAATCCAAAGAAATTTGAGATTCAAAAAGTTATGTTGCCACTTAGGGGCGGTTTGGTTCACAGAGCTTTTTTTTTTTTTTTTTTTTTAGGATTGAGATTTTACAGTAGAATTTATACGATATGATTTATTATATTTAGGATTTGATATACTATTCTGTGTTTCGTTAGTGAAACAACCAGGATTTAAATCTTTCAATTCCAGTTTGTTTTGCATATTAATAGAAGAATTTGAATTTTTTATATTTTAAATGACATAATTATCCTTCCATAAATTTTATTTATTGTAATAAATTAAAATTTACATCAATTTTTTAATTATTTATTTTTTCACCAAATTAGATATGTTCTAATAAAAAAAATTTAATACGATTTTTGATTTATATTAAAAAGATGTAATATATATGGATTTATACAAAATATATAATATATAATCTCTACACTAAAAATACACTAATTTAACATAAAATACTACTACATTTTTTACACTACCGCAATATTTCTCATATCTAATATAAAAAAATACTTCAAACTAAAAATACAAAATTAATACATCAATAAAATAAGGGAGACTTGGACTAAAGTCCCTGTCACTAAAATTCACTTGTAAATCAGTCCCTCTTGAAAATTAATTAGTCTGCAGTCCCTACTTTATAGATTAGGTTTATTATAGCTCCCCAATTTATTTTTTCTCTTAATTCACCGTTGTAAACATAACAAGTACTCGAAATAGATTAATAAATACTTCTAATGTTGAAATATATACCTACATTACTTCCCTCTCTACCCTCGTTATAATTTTATATACTTCTAGTTAAATATCGAGTACTTTTTTTTTTTGCGAATTAAAAAAAAAATAGTAAAATAAAGACAGTTACTTACGATTTAACAGGAGTTTAGACAGAAAAACCTCCCATAACTCTCCTCATCCCGATTTTAAACCCTACATCTTCCATTTTCAAGTGAACCAGTGTTCTCCAACGCTCGGTGATCAAGTATCGAACGATCGGTGCAAAAATAGTGAAGAAAACAACTGACCCACTCTCATCCCCAAAGACAAGCTCAAAAAAGTAAGACCTTTTTCGATTTTTTATTTTGTCTAACATTAGTATTTTATATCGTAGTTTGTTCGATTGTTTGGGGTATAAGTCTTAGTCCAATATTTGTATGCCTCGATCGGTTCGGTGTTGAGGAGCCCTGGGTGATCGGTGTAGTTGTGTTTGTTAATTGGGTTTGAAATTGTTCGTATGTTTGCCTACGTAGACCGAGTTGGGTTTTTATTTTGACACCAATTTTGGGTGATTTTATTTGTTTAATTTGTGATTTTAGTTAATTTTATAGATATACATTTTGTTTAGTTACCTGGAGTTGCATAATTTAATATTTTTTTGTTTGTTTGATTGATCGATAATTACTTATATTTGTGGGTTGGTAAATGCGATTATGTTAGGTACCCCGAATTGCATTTTTTCAGGTTTAGTTTGATAAGTAATAGACTTTTAAGGGACTACTGTGTACTCGTAATCTATTGTTACATACTCCTGATAGATTCTGACAAACTTTAAAATAAATTCAAGATTTGGATAATGTGTATTAATGATATTTATTTACAGATTGGATAAAGATTATATATCGGTTATCTATCGGTTTGTAGTACTGATTGGTCTGTATGTTCTCCGAGTGTTACATCCATGCGAATCCGGTAGTATCGGCAGCAAGTTTGATAATATGAAGAGCTATCGCGGTAAAATTACGACCAAAATACTAAAAGGTCCACCGACCAACCGTAGATTTCAATGAACAACACATGGTAAGTGAATGTTGTAATGAATTTGGATGGATATGGGATTTATTTGAGTTTTGTTATTTGTGCTTGATTTGAGTAGTGTGTTATTTCGATTGAATTGTTGGTTGAATTGTTTAATATGCCTCATGTTCAATGATATTATATTAAGATCTATTGAGGGATTAAATTATAGGTTAAATTTGGTGAAACTTAAAGTTTGGAGTAATGCTATAAATTGTGCCGTATGATTAATTCTTCGCATGGTTAAAATTGCAATAATGCACATATTGTACCTCAACAACAGATTGATGTACCTGTCTAACTAGATCGAAATACCTTCAAAAAGCATATATATATATATGCTCATATACATGTTATTCATTAATTATGAAGGTTATCCTTGTATGAAGACAACAATAAACCAAAAAAGTTATGCATATTGCTTTTAAATTAGAATTAACTAATTCATTACAAAACCTTGCAATGATTGAAGTGATGCTTGCAATGAACAGAAGTGCATATATGGATACCTAACTACATTAGTGGTACACCTATGAAAGAAAATTATATACATGTACTGCGAAAGTTTATGCCCTCATCACATTGATACATACTTCTTGTCAAACACGACAGACCTCGGTTATTTAATGATATACCTATATTAAGCTAGAAAATACCCCAAGTTAAGTTATTTATGTCTGGGGGGTCTAATACTTCATATCTCGAACATTAAGTAAAGTATAACATTATCTTTAACAATATTCGAACATGGGATGTATTCATCTTTAACATAGTCAATTATACCAATTTAGAAAATTAAAAAGTTGTTTATAAAAATTAACAACATGATCCATATAGGTGAATAATAGGCTATGGCGTTAGTTAGTTGTGTTGTTGGTAAGAGTAGTACTTAGTTATGATGCATATGCAATGGTTTTACAAATTAATAATGGAGAGTATTAATAATTGGAGAGTACTCTCTCCAATTAAATTCACAATAATAGATTTCAAACACTATGGGAGCGACATTATATTACAACATCTCATTCATTCACACATGTTAGCATCAACGGGTAGCTCAGTCGTTTACCAATATACTCCGGAATTAGTATCTCATATGCTCCTATAACTAGTATCTATGCCTGGACACTTGTGCTTGGAAAACAAGCGGTTCTCAATTCAAAATATTCAATTTTTATCTGTAAACAGGGATAAATTCATCATTATAATATTTTCGTAAATTCTGTAACTGTATGTAAAGCTAAATAACACATATTTATTATGGATGACTGAACAAGTATTAAATAACTTAGATTTAAATTATGTTTTTTTTGTTACTCATACATATTTTGTAGTCTTTCCATTGAAAAGTATGGTATGAGCTGTCAAATATAAACGTACAGTACTTAAATTTTTCCAACAATGCTAGGAGATGAAGTACTCTCACCGAGTTTGTGCCCCTCAGGGGATCAACTGAAATCAATCACATTCACGAATACCTTCTACTACAAAGAAAATACCTAAGCAATTATCATTTATACCTTGAATGTCGGTGTGTGTACCCAAAGCGCATACTTACATACCTGCATCAAATACGAACATACCTTGTCACAGATCTTGTGTACCTATAATACTGGTATTATATGCTTCAGTAACGAGTATATATACTCTGATAACATGTGCTTGGAAAACAGACACTTTTTGTTCAAATTATTCACTTGTTGTCGGTAACCAAGGATGAATTCATCGTGATAGTATTTCCGCGGCACCTTAAATTGTTTGAAAAGATAAATAATATATATTTACTATAGATGACTAAATAAGTCAGAAATAACTTCGTTATATTGTGTGGCATATGTACAATTATAGTCCAACCTCCACTTGTAGATGGCTAAACAAGTCATAAATGACTAAGTTAAATTATATTGGTTGTTAAGAGTAAATAATTTCTGCCAGGAATTGAAAATCTTTGAACCAGTTACATAGTAATCTACATCGTAACACACACACAACAACAACATTCAAGTGAAAGCGCGAGTTGTAATCTACTACTAGGACTTCAAGTGTTTTTTGTGTAATAGGACAAACATATTTTTTCTAAAATATTTTGACCCATAACATAATAATCTAAATTTTCACACTCATAATCTCAAATATCAATCAATCAGAAGCTTTTAACAAAATAGTAACTCAGTTGAGTAGGAAAGTACTCCAATAGAGCTCCGATGTACCTCTGTTAAATTTTCAGAAACCTTTATTGTCAACAAGTCATATATAAAATACTATCTCACATACCCATAATTTCTGTTCATCTACCATAATACATCAAATTTACAAAAGAGCTTCAATGCAACAATTCTCTTATTGTTGTATATTTATATACAACATTTATTATGTTTAGCACGCTAAAAGTAATTACAATGAGAGGATTGATGGACATTCTTTCAAAATAAAAAAAAAAATTACACATTTAAATATTACAACAATTGTGTCTGGCTTTAACCAACTATCACGGACCAAATTGAGTACTTCTGCAACTGCAATTAAGATATCAGCGTCTTGATTTGTTCTGAGTTTTTGGTAAATGGATGAAGAATAGTCACTTTAGCACGATGCTTCTGCCCATAAATAGATAAAATATTAATGTTCAGCAACTTAGGAAAAAATATGTGATTATATAATAAATTGTACAATTAGAGTACATGAATATAATATTTTACACACTAATCTAAACCTACTGGACTATAATAAATTATAATTATATATACCATATATAAATCAATACTTGAAGAAGTAAGGCTGTAGGCAATCCAACAATGTTATTTTACCCATCACTATAACATTGTTTTCTATAATATCAACACCAAACTACAATAGATTATAAATGCACAAAAATAACTAGTGATGACAATATTGAGGATATATTTTTGATTGAAACTCCAAAATAGTGCATATTCATGAAAAGTGAAATTATAACTCAATACTTTGAACAAAAAATTATTAAATTCTCTTACACTAATACATGTAACTTTTTGAGACATTTTATCGAACATGTGAAGTGCATTAGACATTTACCTTACTACTATTAACATAATGTGTTTTCCAAATGGGAGATAGGAAAAAAGATGAAAAATGCATCAGGGTTGAGATTTGGTATTCATTCACCACACATAATATATCTACAATCAATCAAGAACAGATGTTCTAACCTTTCGAAAACAATAAGGTGGGTCTTCTTCGAAGAGAAATGGATTGTTGTCCAATGGCCGTAACAAATTGGGATAGATGGGTCTTTGTGTTTGTCGGAATCTAGGCCAGTGATCTGTAATTACAATTTCACGTTCACCGGATTATGGGCGAGTAGATTCCCCTTCCAATTTTGTGCGAAATTAACGAGAGATTACAATAGGAAAAAGTGTGAAGACGAAATGAAATAGAAAATGAAGGAGTGTTGCGCTAGTAAGATTTATCACAAAATAATCACCTCATGAAACATAAACTACCCATTTTAAAATAGAGGTCCTAACCTTTGTAAAATTCCGACGTCGCTCTTCGCCGGAGAAGAAGGGCTCGCAGTGGCACGAAAATATCAAACAAGAAAAAAAAATGGTTCTTCGCGATTGTTGGCCTATGGGCAACGCGGCTACGGTGGTGATTTTTGATCCAATGATTCTGGACTAACATGTTTTACTCCCAATTCCGCGCGAAGAATAACCAACGTGTGAAAGGGATTTGAGAGCTAAATCAGAAATAAAGAAATGATAGGGAGTGAAGAACGAGTGAAATGGAAAAGTAGGGACTGCAGAATAAGAATTTAGTAATGGGGACTGATTATTAATAAATTAGACAAAATAGGGATTTAAAGCCAATTGTGCCATAAAATAATAATAAATTATTAATCTATTTAAAGTAAAATATAGAATGCAATCAGAATGAAATTTTAAAGTGATCGGGGTACTCTTTTACTGAAAAATCCTTGTTTGAAGAATTTTAAAATCTCATTCACTTTAAATTTCATTATATATTTTTAACCAAATATAGATTAATTGGAATTTAAAATTCATCCCATTCCCCCCTCCCCCCCCCCCCCCCAAAAAAAAAAAATCAAATCAAGCACCTATTTTTTATTTTTTATATTATACTAAAAATCAGTTTTATATTCAAAACATAACATCAACACATATTTATATCACATCATACAACTATTCAATTCAAAATTTTTACTATTCAAATCCCAACTCAAAATCCAAACCCCCCAAACAAACACACCCTAAAGCAAAATTTGCATGGTTTGAAAACAACATGCACGGTTCATTCAAAGCACCATAAAAAAAAAAAAAAAAAAAAAAAAACTCATCTTTGCAAAGAAATGACATCTATCATTTTCTACTTATCATTATTTATTATAGACTTAAGTATTTACATTATCATTATTCCGATAAGTTTTTTTTTTAGTAAAAACCTTTGATATTTGATTGGTAATTATACCTTTTTTTTACTATTTTAATTCGTGGTTTGTCATCACAAAATAGAAAATTTGAAAAAAGAAAAAACCCAAAAATTTATGTAATATTTTTAAGTGATTTTACATGGAAAATGTGCTAATGCGGGGTTTTGAGAAAATTTGTGTGTTATACCCCCAGAGTTTGGCCGATGTTGGGCCAACTCCAGTGTATGGATGAGCTGGTGCAAGGCCATCTGTGATTGAGTAGAAATTAAGTAGATTGAATAGACTACTTATGTCAACAATATGAACATTCTTTTTCGGGGGTCGTACTAAAAGAAATCTAGAGTTAAGCATGCTTGCCCTAGAGTAATTTGAGAATAAGTGACCACTGGAAAAGTTTTCCAGGGTGCGTGTGAGTGAGAACAAAGTATGGTGAAAGGGCTCGTATTGACTTGTGAGGCCAGTTTAATCCCACCACGCCTCATCAGCATAGCTTGTGGGCCGCGTGTCACAGTTGATATCAAAACATTGTTTTAAGTACATGTTTACTTGTTGATTGATTGACTAACATTTAGAGCCTTCTAACCTTATGTACTCTTGTGTGCTCTTTTGTGATGTGGATTATCTGGTTTGGATTATACTCATGTGGGTATAACTTTGCCTTTGGCCTAGAATCATATTTTCAATTCTTTGATTTATAATGTGCTCATCGTAGTTGACGAGTTGGAGATCCTGTAAACTTTTGGTACTTTAGTTGCATGAGTTTTACTTGATACTTGGTATTGACTTCTTGAAGAGCATAGAGCTCAGTGGGATGGCCAGTTGGCATTTAGGACGTTAGATAGAGTGAAGACATCTTACTACAAGAAACAAAGGACGTTGAAGTCTAAGGTGGTTAGCACTTTGGCGCTCTTTTTGTTGAATACAGAAAAAAGGTCACCTACCTACGTGTGTTTGGTATGTGAGACTAGAGCTAAGGGGCCAGGAACAAGTATTTGTTCCCAAAAGTTGAAAATTTGTTTGATCAATTGAGAGGTGTGAGCGTGTTCTCAAAGGTCAACTTGCAATCTGAGTATTACCAGATACGTGTGAAGGATAGGGATATTTTGAATACAACTTTTTAAACTCGTTGTGGACACTATGACTTTACGATTATACCTTTTGAGATCACAAATTCCCAACCATATTTATAGATTTGATGCAATAGGTGTTAATGAAGTAGTTGAATGTTTTCATTTGTAGTTTTCATATATGAAAACCTAATTTATTCTCCTAATCCCGATACTCTTGCTCAACACTTGAGATTTGTGTTGAAGAATTTGAGAGAGGAACAATTATATGGCAAGCTGTCAAAGTGTGAATTTTGATTGATTAATGTGCATTTTCATGTCTATGTGATCTCTGCTAAGGGTGTGACTATGAATGTCTCAAAGGTTGAGACAATATCAACTTATAATTGTCTAATGTAGGTGATTTATGAGGTTTCCTTAGATTGGTTGGCTACTATCAATATTTCATTAAGGATTTTTCTATGATTGCACGACCATTGGGGAATCTAACAAAAAAGATGGTCGGGTTTGTATGAGATGATAAATATGGCGGTCTTTCTCGAGTTGAAGTAGAGATTGATGGCTACGCCAATTCTGGGGTTACTCGGGGATGGGCTAGACTTTGATATCGTGATGCATCATCGAATGGTTTGGGATGTGTGTTGTCGCAGAACGGTTTGGCTAATGCCCCAAAAGTTGTCCTTGTTGCAGCACTTGGTGACACCTACAAAGTGGGTAGAGTTGTTATTGTTTCTTGAACCTTCCTGGTTTCATCGCTAGGTTTAGCGGTGGTGGCAGCGGGGACCTCAGCGGCTTCTTCTCAAAATCTTTCTACTGTAACATCAACGCCGTTGATGTTTTCCTTTGTGAATGTAGTCTCCCACTCCTCCTATATTCCAACAACAGTCGACTCACCCATCTTCTACTGGTTAAAGAGAATGGGTTTATTGTCAATTGGGTTCATCTGACGTAGCGGCATGGCTTCCTTTGGCGAGCCAGCTGGGATAATCGCTGGTGGTGATCTTAGAGGTTGGGCAGCTGGCTCCCTATCCCTTTCCCTAGGCGAGACAGCGGGACATCATTGGTCTTTCTCCTTCTCCATAGCCTTGCCTTTCCCTTCTCCTTCCTCGTCAGCTTATGAGGTGGGCACATCATTGTGTTCTTAGCCATCATTTTTATTCTTTTTTCTTTGTTTCTTCGTAGCTAGCTCAGGAGCAAGGTCATCAGCCAATTAGACCTCATTTCTCTTCTCTCACCAGCAGCTACCTTCTCCTTCATCACTTCTTTCTCTTCTTCATTACTCACAGCCTCCTTCTTGTTTGGCCGCTTTCTTCGTCTCCTTGGCTTGCTGAGGTGGGCCCTCAGTAGCCTCCTCCTGCTAAGCCTTCGAAGCTTCATCAGAGATTTTCTTTTCTAAATCAAGGCCAGCGGCGGCCTCTTATCCTTCTTATTCCGTTTCGTAGACCAACAGCTCCCCCACAACCTTCAGCTTCTTCTTTGGGGAATGGGCAGGAGCAGTTGCCTTCTTTTTCTCTTCTTCATCTTAAGGATCGAGCTGAACCCCTTTTCCTCTTGCCGCTTTCTATGAAACACAGCAGGATGTTGTGGTGGCATAGTGAGCACAGTGGTTGGCTCGGGCAAATCTACACCTGCACGGAAATAGAGCTTAGTAATTATGGTCCCATGACCCAATGTCCTATCAAGAGCAATTTTGTCCCAGATGTCCAAGCAGATAATTCCGATCAGATCAATATCAGCCTTCTTCTCTAAGATTGAGTGCAGCGCTATCAGTAGTTCGGGCTTCAGGTCGGTTGTGTGAGATGCTATCATTATTCGGCTCAACAACCATTTCACTCATTCTTGTTTCTCATAGACTGAGGTCTTGGCAAAGGTGGTGTACAGCTACTGCTACTCCATTGAGTTATACTTCTTAGCTACCTCCACTTTGGCTTTCATCTCTGCCATTGGGTAGTGGAAAGACCAGCTAATAACTATGTTGATTTTCTTTGCGGAAGCGTCCACCAACTTCCCTTAGACATACAAATTCCTTGAACCATCTGCTTGCGCAAGATTCGAATAAAATTCCCTCACCAGTGATACATCCACTGGCTCACTGAGATTCTCGATCATCCAGGACAATCCCCTCTCCTTGATCCAATATTTGAGTTGTCCCTGGATTGCCTTTGAAACGAATCCTTGCTCCTAAATGATTCTTATGGACTTTTTCCGTTCATAATTTGTTACTGTCTCTTTATTAAAGAAGTGATACTTGTCATAATCAGGGTTGGCTTTGATAGTGGCGGCAGCTTCAGCAGTTTTCTTCTTAGTAATCTTCTCCATGCGGGAGTCCTTCATCTTTGTTTCAACGAGATCAACCTTTCTGAATTCTCTTTCAATTTCTCCCTCCCAGAATTCCTTTAACCTTGAGTAGCCCAGCCACCAGTCATCTACATGATACCTTTGAGTGGATTCGTCAGTATACTTAAATGTTAGTTAGTCCTCTGGAAACACTGAGATATAATTGCGGAATTCTACTAATTTCAACCTCCTCAACTCAACCCAATTCTCTGTTAACTCCAACAATCTTCTCCTTCAATAATACTCCTTGGGGATGTTGGCTCAAGTAATTCACCACCTGAGAGAATATCCACCACTTTTCTCCCGTCAATGGACAAAATCCTCAAAACTCTCATTCCTATCTTCCAACCTATTCAAAATCCCTCCTCACAATGTCGCTCACTAGCTTCCTTATTGGATCTATGGTCGCTACTTTAGAAAAGGCTAGGGATTTTCATTTCGATGCAAAAACAAAGCACATACCAAATATCTCAAAATTGCAATATTAGTTCAAAATTGACAAACAATTAAGAAAACTAGATGATGTATTCCTAATCTAGATTATTTAAATCCTATTCCTCCTCCCACAACAAAGGGAATGGGTTCACATAAAGCTTCATTGTGAAAAAGGGCAAAAATTACAAATCGACTTTCTGACCATAGATTTTTGCAAAATCAAACCGTAGAAAGCTAATAAATCAATTATTATATCTAAATCCAAAGGATAACAGACTTAAATTCACATAGAATTAAGTTTTAGTAATTTCTCAAAAGTTTGAAGAACAGTGGGTTTTTGTGACAAAAACATTTGATTTTGTGTTATTGAGTGTGAAATTAGTGTGAATCAAGGAAAAAAATAGTAATTAGACCATGGCGAACTTAGATCTTACCTCAAATTCTCCTAAAATTTGCTAGAAGGACTTTGAATTTTTAATTTGGAAAGACGAATAACCGGCGGTTTCTAAAGCTTTTTCAGAAGGGCAAAGTTGGAAATGACGGAGTGAGTGGGTATTTATAGGTGAGAGGTGCTCATTTCTATAGGTGGGTTTAATGACGGAGTGAGTGGGTATTTATAGGTGAGAGGTGCTCATTTCTATAGGTGGGTTTGGAAGCGGTGAGTGCGTTGGCCACTAATCTGACAAACCTCTATTATTATATTATTATTATAAAGGCATAAGGGTGGGTGATAACTCTTGATTTTTTTATATTTTATAGCTCATATTTATTTATATCAAATTTTGGTATTATTTATGTTAATTTACTCTAATAATTGTATTTATTTCATCTTGTGTGTATACTATTAATTTATTAGTTTTTTTAGGTGTAATTTATAAATAAATTAAATTAATTGATGCTTTTCTTGAATTATATTTTTAGGCATTATTTATGTGCTATTTAAGTATTTAATTTTGGCTAAATTAATTTTATTTAATAAGTCTAAATTAATTTTATTTAATAAGTATCATTTATTTAAATAAATATTTATAAGGTGTTTATTATTTATATAGGTGAAATAATGCTTAAAACTGATATTGGAATCCAAAACTGGCCTTAAAAAGCGAATAAATGGCTTCAGAAGCAAAAAAACAATCATCGGCGCGAAAATCAACAAAAGCCAACGGTCAACGCTGGAAAGTCAACGAGCGAAAGTCAAAGGCAACCGCTATGCGGAATTCAAGCGGCGGCCGTGCAAAAAGCAAGCGAGCGCGGAATCAAGTGGCGGCAGACACGGAAAGTGAGCGGCGGCTGCATAGGAGTACGTGAGCGCGGAAGGCAAGTGGAGGCTGCATTTATGAGCGCGGAAGGCAAGTGGCGGCTGCATTTATGAGCACGGAATGCAAGCGAGCGCGGAATCAAGCGACGGCTGGTGCAGAAAGTGAGCGTCGGCTGCACAAAGTGAGCGAGCACAGAAATTTGAGCGAAGCGGAATTTTATGTCCATTAATCTGTGAGCAGTGGCTGCATTTATGAGCGTGGAAGACCATACATGGAAGTGAGCTATGGCGGCTAGTGCGGACTCCGTGCTGCATAGGAGTGCGCGAGCGCGGAAGGCGAGTGGCGGCTGCATTTATTAGCGCGGAAAGCAAGCGACAGTTGTAATTACTTTCGCTGGTCAGCGGCAGCTATATTAATTGCCGCTGGTCAGCGGTGGATTTACTGCGCCGCCACAATAATTCCTGTACAGAATTTCGCTGCACTACTTTTTAGCCAACTTTTGACTATTTTTGTGTAATTTTTTTCTAAAACCTTCTAGAAAATAGGTAGTTATTAGTAGTTATATTAGTAGTTATTTTTAGAGTTAGTTATTTATGGTTATTTTTAGAGGTAGTTAATAGTTACTTTTAGAAGTACTTATTTATTGGTGGTTGTAACCACAAAGCTTCTAGAAGCTTTTCCTCTTATAAATTTTCCCTTTAATTGTATCATATACACACATATACACCATATATACACAATAATATACATTTCATACACTCAATTTTCTCCATTTCTTTTCTCCTATATTTTTATCTAGTTTAATAATACGAGATTTTCGGTTTTGTATCGCGAGCAAACTGATTTTCTCCTAATTTTCTTTTAATTCCTGCATATTATTTTAGCTAGTAAATTTCCTATCATATTTCTCCACCTTACATTCACCCAAAAATTCCATGTTCGATTTGAATTGTTCAAGTTGGATTTCGACAAGGTTGCGGAAGGGCAATAGAAGAATCGACTATTTCAGCCCTGTTTCGTGTCACAAACAGCTTCTGGGTAGTTCAACATAGCTAAGTACGCGGGAGCCTTGTCGACCTGCTTAGTTGTTGTTCTGAATTCGATTTCGATTAAAGAGAGGTATCAAAGGGGTAGACCCACTAGCGAAATGGTTGGAAGAATAATTCATAGGGCATAGGCGGTGGTCTATCAGGTCACAAAAATTTATGGTGACAGTAGAGTTTCTTGCTTATAATGTTCTTCGCCGGGTGTCGCTGAAGCCACGTTGTAAATCCCCTAAGGTCGAGTACCAACCGAGTCGAGAATCGGCTTAAGCGAGCAAATGCGATCACGTTCATTCCTCCGAGCCGCCCCGCAATTATACACATATTTTTGGCTATCACGCCATCGCCATCCCGCCCATTACATCCATGGAAGTCTAGCCATTAAGGAACGCAAAAGTTAGACACAAACGCCTCGCTTCTTCCTTTTCGAGATACGTATATTTTATTGTTTTTTAGTTAGATTTATTTTCTGCAATTTATCTTTTCAGTTCTTCGATTGCATTAACTCATTGCGCACTTCTTTTCTAATTAAATATAGGATATTCACATCTTCTCAGAGTTCGACCCGGACACTCACCTGTTAAAGAGATTTTTTATTTTTGACAAAGTTCTTGGAGTTACTACACGAACACACGCGACACTATTTTTATTTTATACATATATCTTTTTTTGTATCTAAAAGATATTTTTAAATATCTCCAAAAGTATTCGATCAAATTTTGGCGCCGTTGCCGGGGAATAAGCCTAGTATCTTTGTTCTAATTGGAAATTATTGAGTTTAATGCTAATTTAATTTTAATATTGAATTTTATTTTATTTTAAACCTTTAATCCATCGGCGGTATGCTTTGTAGGTTTCGAGAGTGCGATATCCTTCAGGGATCAAACCTGCACATCATTCATCTTTTGGAGAAAATTCAGAAAATTTTCGAAAAAAAAAAAAAAAGTCGCTAGGCAGCTGCCTCTACAGTTTTGTTCCAAATATACATATAGTAATAAATCATATAATAATAAAAATAATAATAATATTTACTATATATATAATAAATAAATCATAATAAATAATAATATTACTATAATGATAAATCAACAATAATAAAAATAATAAGAATAATTAGAATAAATAAAAGTTAGGTTTAGGAGCGGCTGCTCGGTTTCTCCCCTTTATATATATATATATATAATAAAAAAAAATTATATAAAATAATGATTATTTTATTTTATTTATTTATTTATTTTCATTCAGGATTTCCAAGATGATCTGTTCGTTCGTTCAAATTGAATTTTAAAGCCAAAGAAGCAGACATCCATCTTTGTGAACCAGCGGTGATGGCAAGCAAAGCAGCATCAATATCTCTGTGTACAAGCGAAGGCGGCGTCAATATCTTTGTGTGCAAGCAAAGCGGCGTCAATATCTCTGTGTGCAAGCGAAGCGGAGTCAATGTTGATGGAAAATTAAATTGAATTTATATTTTTTGAGTGAATATTTCTCGATTATCCCCATATATCTTATTATTCTCCTTTTAATTTATATTATTTGCCTTCAATTTGGTATCAGAGCTTCGGCTATGTCCAACAATCTAGTTTCTCTCGTTCCTCTATTCAATGGCGAAAAGTTTGATTACTGGAGCAATCTCATGAAATTATGTCTTGAATCTCAAGACTTATGGAGTGTTGTGGAAGATGGTGTAGGTGCTCCAGAGGACGAATCCCGACTCACTGATGCCGAAAGAAATTCTCTGAGGAACAGAAGGCAACAAGACAAAAAAGCTCTCTTTCAAATATATCAAGCGATTGAGATTCCAGTCTATGAAAGACTATCCAAGGCTGGAAGTGCACAAGAAGCATGGAACATCCTACAAACAACATACTATGGGCAAGATCAAGTAAAAAAGGTTCGCTTGCAATAATTAAGGGCTGAATTTGAAAAAATGGAGATGAAAGATAACGAAAAAATTGGAGATTATTTTACGAGAGCGAATTCTCTTGTGAATCAAATGGCATCAAATGGAGAAGTTGTTGAAACCCAACGGATAGTCGAGAAAATCTTGCGTAGCCTACCAAGTAAATTCGACCATGTTGTGGTAGCAATTGAGGAGTCACAAGATCTCTCGTCGATGGCGTTAGAAAGTTTGCAAGGAAGATTGGAGGCCCATGAAGTAAGAATACTTCAAAGGAATTCTCAAAGTTCCCTTTCTCAAGATCACGCTTTGAAGTCCCAGTTTACGGGAGGGCGTGGTTTCTTTTGTGGACACGGGCGAGCACGAAATCAAAGCTGGGGACGAGGAAGGGGTGGCCAACTACCTATAGAAAATAAAGAGCAGCGTGAAGATGAGAAATTACGATCTTTCACCCAACGAGGAAGAGGGTGTGGTAACTATAAAGGTACAAAACCTTATGTAGAGTGCTATTATTGTCACAAACCTGGACATAAAATTTCTGATTGTTGGGAAAAATATCCAGAAAAGAGGCGTGAAAATGGTTTTGTGCATGAGAAATGAGTCGAAAATACAGAAACATTGTTGATTGCTTCAAATGGAAATATTGGGGATATTTGATATTTGGACAGCGGGGCAAGCAAACACATGACTGGAAATAAAAATTTGTTTTCCACTCTTGTCGAAGCTAATCATGGGCAGGTTACAATTGGAGATGCCAAGGCATATAAGATCGAAGACGTTGGAGAAATCTCATTAAAGGCGAAAAATGCGAGAGTTGAGAAAATTTCTGAGGTATTTTATGTTCCTCGATTATAAAGCAATTTGTTAAGTGTTGGCCACTTAATGAAAAAGGGGATTGATATTCATTTTGTTGACAACTTTTGCACTATGGAGAAGCAAAATCAAATCATAGCAAAAATTGGTTTGGGAGCAAACAATTTGTTTGCTTTGAAGCTTGATATCTTAAATAATGTTGGAAATCTTGCTGTTAATGAGCAAATCTCCAAGTTGTGGGATGACAGGTTTGGGCACCTTAATTTTGGGAGCTTGGAGGAGTTGTCGAATAAATCGATTGTATATGGACTGCCCAAAATCAGAGGAGTACAAGAAGTTTGTGAAGTGTGCCAATTGGGAAAGCAACATCGATAGTCTTTCCCATCAAAATTTGATTGGAAATAAAAAACGCCTTTGGAACTGGTTCACATAGATTTATGCGGGCCAATTAAAGTTCCATCGCTTGGAGGTAACCGATATTTCTTGTTGTTTATTGATGACTTCACAAGGAAAGTTTGGGTTTATTTGGTGAAAAAAAAATCTGATGCACTT